TTTTGCGCAGGTGGGATTTTTAATTAACTCCTTTAATAATGCACATAGAGAAGTATTGTAGAGCTTAGTGTAAAGCTTATGAAATTTCTCTCTCTCTCTCTCTCTCTCTCTCTCTCTCTCTATATATATATATATATATATATATATATGCATACTCACACACACATACCTTGCTACCTGTAAAGCTTAAGAGTGGAAGTGGTCGGACATTATTAACTTGGGAAATTAATTGCAGGTGAGTAGCATCTGGAATTGTTTTAAACTTGTCACAAGTATCAGCCAATGTACCCCTCTCAAAGCATGCAGAAATATTTCTGGGACCACAAGAACTTCTGAAGCTGGAATGAATGGCTGGACAAAAATCCATACATTTTGGGATGGACATTAATGTTTTTATTGTATAATTTTAGCATGCCATCCTTGTGGCTTGAGGACACATGTTAATGGGTGTTTTTGTACATGGCTATTTTATTTTACAATGTGAATCATTCCTTATTCTTAATATTATTCGTAAATTCCAAGAAGTGACTAGTTGTATTATGTTATGAATGAGTAAATGCTGTAAATACAGAATGTCTGAGAAAAGTCAGGGATTTGGTAGTGTAGAAGAGTTCACATTTAGGAAGCATGTCAGGTTTGATGTATGAATGGCTTCTTTGAAACAGCATACCTAGGTTTTAGAAAGAAGCTACACTCAGCTTAATATGTGATTTATCTGTTTATAGCTGTGCAGATTTTGTTTTGGTATACCAGAACATACAATGTACTTTCTCTTGTAGTCACTGTGACTGACTGTCACACACATAACACAACTTAAACCCACATGTGAAACAGTGGAATGGCAAACAATGCCAGTGTACTGTTTATGCATTGCACTGTTAGTAAAACAAAACTTGATTTGTTGCTGTTTACGATGTTCTGTTTTGTTCAGGTCACTAAATACATCTTCTTTAAATCCTGGAGTTCTTTTCCTGCCACTCAGTATTATCTGTACAGAAATGAGAAATTGTTTTTGTAGTTCTATAGATAATAGTTTTGTGTATGATATATAATCTGTGATTATATTTTACTTTGGTCAGATATTTGTGTGAATGAATTATTTCTAACACTTGTATATTGTCCGACATTGTTTTCCATTTTTAGGTTCAGTTTCGACTCAGACAGATAGTTGATGCACCTCCAAGTGAAAAAGAAAATCTGTTAAAGGAACTGGAGGCATTTGCTTTCAGAGGAATACCAGAATTATGTGATGGGAAAATCAAAGGCTTAATGACGCCATCTTCAAATCCTGTAAGCAGTAGTAGTAATGAGATGATGACAATAACAATATATAGGGCGTATGGCATTTACTCAAAGGAAGGATGGTGTTTCTTGCCTTTATTTTCATTACAAATTTAGTGTCATTTTATACTTGCTAATGAATAAGAATGTTTCAAAAGTCAAATGTGATTTATCGATTTCTAGGAAGACAGACGTGGCAAGTGTGACATACTATCTGTAGACTACAGATAGATTTTCAAAGCAGTAATCACATCTAATTGATCTTGTTCTGTGTGTTTGGAGCTCTTAGGTTATAGCTGCTTTGTTATTAGATACAATTTGTAATGGTAACAACAGTTGTCAGATATGATTCCATATTTCCAATACCTTTGCTTCTGCTGCAAAAAAAAAGATAGAGCGAGAGAGATGCCAGAAGCAGAACACTGTCTTTGAAAACCATCTCATATCAGGGCTTATGCATGCACAAGTTTTAAGGTATGCCACAGTTGTGAGATGTTTCTTTATTTATGAATGAACAAAGATATTACTTTGACAAACATTCAGTCTTAAATATATATTTCCTTCCAATATTTCCCATTAAATAATTAGCATAAAATTGTATATTTGAGTACATGAGCTTTATATAAATTTTTAATAGATAAGAAAGCTATTAGTTACAATTTTTCATATAAATGGCATGTAATAAATAAATTATTCTATTTTTAGCAATGTACATCTGAGAACACGAACATCATAGTCAAGTGGGTAACACTACTGCTTTATATTCTAGAGGTTTCGGGTTCAAATCTCGGCCTGGAAACCGGCTATCCTGACTGGGATTTTTCATAGTTTATTTAAGTCACTTCAGGCAGATGCCAGGATTGTACCTTAAATTACACCATGACCACTTCCTTCCACGTCCTTTCAAATTCATTATAATCCTCACTGTCATCCCCTCATCTGACGATATACAGTCTGAGATGCTGAAAAGTGTCATTAAATAAACTAATATGAAATCAATGATTGTGATAATATATCAGGGTTGTATTTTCAGATATTTATTTCATTTCATTCTTAGGATGGAGAAGATTTAGAAGAAAAAATGTTAGCACAGAGAACTAAACAGAAAGAATTAATAACGCAACTTAAAAATCAGTTGGAAGACCTTGAGAAATATGCGTATGAAACAGGTGAAGCAGGATTACCACAAAGTGTTGTCATGGAAAGACAGAGGGTGATAATAGGTATGTATAGTTCCTTGCATGGAGTTAGTGTTTTTTACAAGTGTCAGATTAACCTTATTGTCCATCAGAAATATAAAGTAAATTTTATTAGATTACCATGACTTTCTCTCACTTATAGCTCTGAAATTACTAATGAAACCAACTTTTTGTAGTGTATGGGAATGCATTGTGCTGCCAGGAAGAATGAACAAATACATTCTTTTATTAGTGGTTTAAAGAAGGGCTTCCTAATGCTGCTTACTCAGTGCCTCAAAAATATTCATAGCATTTGTTTTGGATGAAACTAGTTATTATTGGCAGCAGACCTGGTCTTATGCCATGTTTTTGAATTTTTGAATTTCCTTCCTGCATGAATGTGTATGCAGCAGCTGGTATTTCCCAAACTACATTACCATTAATAATGCCATAAACTTCTAACTTTTATCATGAGAGAATGGGGTTTTAAATTCCTGTATTGGTGGGGGGACAGCCAAATTTTGTCTCTGAGATTAATGGTTTAGTGGTAAATTATTGTAACTTCTGACCAGCTGGAAAATGCTTAAGCCATAGTACGTGGCTGATAGACTTTATGTGAACAAATTAATTAAATACCAGTTATTGATTGGTTCATTTTTAGGTTATTTAATTGTTCTTTCAACTGCAGAGGTCATATAGCATTGAATGAAAGATACTGATTATGAATGGCAAATAAGTAAAGACTTTGGAGGGAGGGTTGTTGCCAAAATAAAACAGTCATCTTCATACTGCTATGAGAACCAGAAATCTGATGAGGTTTAGCTTTGACCATAACCACTTTCTTTTATAATCTTACAGACTGAACATTCAGTAGTCATTATGCATACTGTCTTTCTCTATGTAAGGCCTATAATCAAATGATATGTTTTTAAATGATAAATAAAAAATGTGTTGTTTTTCCCCCTCCTAGATCAGCTAAAAGGAAAAATCAACTTAAATGTAGATGACATGGATAAATTGACAGTGGATGATCTTCGAAGTCAAGTTGATTATGCAATAAGCCAGGTAATTTTCAGAGACAAATATATGAGTGAATATCAAGGATTATATGTTCAGCTCCACTGGCCATTGTTATTTTATAAAACTTTTTGTGAAGAGCTTTATTTATTTTTTAGATTTGGTGTAATAAAATTAAGAAAGAAATTGTTTTTGTTCAAGACATCTATCAGTGACTGCTGTTAAATTCTGTGGATGATTTGTAGAATATATCAACAATTTTCAGAAGAGGTTAAGCATGGATTCCTTCATATAGACCCTCTTCCTGCTACTGCAGTGGCATCATTGCAGGCTGACCTTTGGTCCTAAATTTGCCTCCGACTTGGCACTTGTTACATCTTGCTAGTATTTGTCCTAGGGGTCATGCAGTGTTTAGAAATGGACTCCTGAGGCACTGTTATTATGGAGCCCCTGTTTTTAGCTGTGGCCGTCCAGTTTATTTGGATGATGCCCCGGTTTATATTCTAGGTAGTATATCTGAATTTGATTTTAGGGCTTAATTTTCCATGGTAACCACTGTTCATGGAAGAGTATAAAATTAGGTACATCTGCCATTTCGTATGAGAAGCAGTTAACTTGCTGTTAGAATACAGTTATGTTAGTGAGATATTCAAGTAATATCTGGCTCAGAAGATTGTTTACAGGCAGTAACTTAGAAATGAGAAACATATTTCATGTAAACATGGAATAATAATACCAATAGATAAGCGAAATCTATTTTTTGGTCCTGAGTTTCAGATTGATAAGGTTGTTCTGTGTTACAGTGCATAAACATTTGACATCTTTGTATAGAACAAATGTCTGGAAATTTAAACCTTAATTAGTTGTAGGAATTTTGTGTAACATTTAATATTAATTACAAATTAAAATATTTGTAAAGTGAGCATGTAGTTTTGCATGTATATGAATGTCTGCTACATATTCATATTTAGCTTTTTACTGCAGTAGTTACATTGGTGATAGGGTGCTTAACATACAAGCGTGTGTTCTAATTTGCATTTTAATTGGACACCATGACTTTCTGTTAAGAGTTGTTTGCTTTTAACAGAAATGAATCATAACAGTTATAGCTTGAGACAAAGAAATGAAACTTAGTTATTAAGTATAGTTCATACTTGCATTGAGTGCAACATTAATGTTTTTGCATGTTACAGTAATTAAAAGAATGTACTTTTGAGAAGTGTTAATTTTTATAATGTATCACTTGGTTGTGCATTAAATGAATCTTCTTGTCTCTGGAAAATGATGGTCTTGTATTCAGATTCGGCTGTAATCTAAGTAAAGCAAATTCTGACCAATGATTCATCATGTCTTTAAGCATATTGTCGAAGTGATCAGAAATTAAGATGCATTACTTTGTCAAAAGCTGGCATGATACTTCGCATTAAGATCAGCATTAAAGTTGGTGCATTTCAATAAAAAATTTCATGGCTGTGGTAACTATACTAGTTGCTTTAATACTACTAACAACTCAAGTTCTGTTTCTTATTTGTAGCTGGTTAACCCATTGAAGATGAAAGAACACTTGGTAACTCAGCTGAAAACTCAAATTTCTGATTTGGAACGATTCATAGAATTTTTGCAAGGTACTAATGTTTTGTGAAACACTTTGCTTCTGCTTGTGTTCCCTGTTGCATTTCACACATGCTTTTATTTGATGCACTGGAAATGAATGCAGAAAATTACTTGTACTATGCAACTGATGATCCTCCCAATATCCTTATAAAATGTTCCACAGTTTTAAACTGACACTTTATTAATGTTTCCAAATAGTTGTGCCCTGAGTATAATTTTGTTTTTAAATTGTTTGCATGAAGAAGCTACAACTTTTTGAACATCCAACAGATCAGTTTAATTTCTTGAAAGTGAAAAATTGTAAAGAATGATGAAGTTAATAAGGCAACATTATGGCTTTGCATGTGTTTTCAACGTGGTTGCATGTTGAGATGGGTTGCACATATTGGGGACTAGGTACTTTGTTAATTTGCTCTATTGTCGTTGGTAGTAAGTCAGTGTATTTGTGTCATCCACTTTCATGAACTTTTATATGCAACTTATATTTGGTATATAAAAATATTTGAGTGAGTTAATTTTAATTTAATACACTGTATTGAATGTGGTGTGTGATTTCATAAGTATTTGGTTTTCATGTACTGTACTTCTAGGTCATGTTTTCTTGTCCTGTTCATGTTCATATTTAGATTCTGTGTACACACATATTGTGCTCGTTACTGAAATTTTATGATACCATGAAAAATAAATAATGTAAGGAACCTGCCAACATGCATAAAAACCAACATTGTTATAATTTACATTTAAGCAGGAGTGCATGTAATGTCCATTACCATACTGGTTTTTTTCTGCCACAGAGCAAGTCTTTTGTCCCTTTATAAATAAAATAGAACTGATTTATGTATTCTCATCCAATGTTTTCATTAAGAATACTGTTTTGCTACTGTCATTGAGTTTAAACCCAGAATATTATACCACATTTCATGACTGAGTGGAAGTATGAAAGTACTGATGCCACATACAGCTAATGATTTTCTGATGGAGACTTTGAATGATTTCTCAGTTTTCCAGATTCCATGATTATTGACAGGTCCAGCCACCACATAGCAAAGAAATTAATCCATGCAGTTTCTTTGGTTTAGCCTGAAGGGTAACTAAGTTTAGACAGTAAAAACTGATTTCTTCATGGAATCGGCAGTTATAATCATGTAGCTGTGTCACACAATTTTGGACGACATGCCTTAAAGTCATCAGTGATATAAATATTTGTTTTGAAGATATATGTCATAACACAAACTGGAAATTATATTGAATATGTTCTGCATTGAGAACAACTTTGTTTCTGTGCTTGTATGCATACAGTGGCTGTAACATTTCTGTGTTAAATTTAGATACTGCGTAGCATTTAGATGCATAAAACACTTTTTGTAGTGCCCTGAATTAATGATACCAAATTATTTTATTATGAACGTGTAGAACTTCAAAGATAGTGATATGCATTATATTTTAAATACTTTTTAAGAGTTTGTGCTATTATTTCCATGTGAATTTTGTTAATTAGTATAACAAAATGCAATGTGTATCAATTAGGAATAGTGAATTATGTCTTGTAAGTAGTCAAGTAGTCTTGTTAAATTTCAGTATTTAGATTAATATATGTGTCTTCACTTCTTACAAAGCTAATCACATACAATTTCATGCCTTTTTGTTAGGTGATGGAACGACAGAAAGAAGTATGAAACACAAGGAATGTACGTGCAACTGCCCTGTCCATGGTGGGTTATCATCTCTGACAAGAAGGAAATTTCAAAACAAAAATGAGGATGAGGTGTGATATATTTCTTTGAACTGTAGCTATATAAAATAAATATATAACTCTAACTTCGTATATACTTCCTTGCCTTCAAATGTTTCATACAGTTTCTGATACATGCTGCGAACTGATATATGAAGATTCAAGCTTTGGTTATCCCTTTAATTTCATGTTATTAAGACTTGTTTAGATGAGGATCTGCAAAGTGTCTGGTAGGTACAAACACATCCAGAGCAAAGGAACAAACAATGATGTAAGACAGCATCTGATATTTGATATCAGAAGTATAATTTTTAATTGTTTATTTTGCATTAAAACTTAATTTTGATAGACAGAACACAAAAATAAATCATATCGAGAATAAGTAGTTGTTAATAACAAATTTGATACCCATATATATTCTCTGAAATTAAGTTACAAATTTGATTGCATATAATTTTTCTCTTGATGCAACTCTTTAATGAAAACAATTTGCATTTAATTAAGAATTTAGCACAATCGTAAATTACAGATTGGGAATAAATAATTATTCGCTTATTCCTGTTTCAGATTCGAGCAGAAACTATAAACATAATGAAGAAAGCAGCTACAATGTTGCAGATATTTGCTGTTGCGCAGTTTGGCTGTGGTAGTGATCACTTCAAAAAGAACACTTTAAAGAAAACAATGAAAGCAAATCACTGGGGGTAAGAATTATCGTAATATTACACATTGTCCCAGTTTAAGAGAAAAATCAGGACTTCTTATTGGCCACTGGAATTGGGCCCCCCATTTTGACCCATCAGTCCAGAAACTGGAAATTGTGTGCCTTTTCATGTATGTTTCTCATTTTGACTATAAGTTTATAATAGGAATAGTCATTTTTTATAACTTTGTAAACTTGAAGCATCTAGACTGCCATTGCTTTTAGACCTGTATGCATTTAAGAACTGTGTTTTACTCCCACTAACACTACTTTCACTTATATCAGTTTTGAAATTCATTTTCAGAGATCTACGAGCAAATCTTGAATTAGCAGTGGAGTGTGTAATAGAACTAGCTTCAAACCCTGAGAATACATTGGACTCTGATTACACTTCAGACTCTGAAGATGCTCCTGTTGTACTCTGTAATGTTAAGCTCACGTCTGCAGTAAGGAAGCAGTTGGCTCTCAGTATTCGTGATTTGATGCAGCATGGGTTAATGCCTGTAAGTATTTTAATTAATGCCATGACCTAAATAAATCAGTATTGATAAGAACACTATCTTTGTGCTACTGGCACTGTACTAGCAATATAAGAATTTGTATAAGTTGTTTGATGAAATTCTTTTTAAAATATCTAAGAGAAAATGTGAAACTACTACTGTGTACAGTGTGTATCCACTTATATACTACACTATAATTCAAAGTGTTAATTTTTAGTTTAGCCTAGGAATGGGTGTACTCTGTAGATATGTATGTATATGTATGTTTTTAAAACATAAGTTTTCTTCTGAAATTATGTTGTATTGTCTTAGTTGCTTAACTTCATTTGTTCATTTCTGATCCTTTAGGTTGGTCAGAGTGTTAGCGTTGTTCCATTTATTGGTTGCTTTCCACAAATGAATACATCTGGCAAAGGAATGCATGCCTGGGAACTGATTTTGAAGTATTATGAATTGAAGAATGGAGAGCGGTATAATTCCACACCAGCTAGAAAGTTATCACAAAGTTTTAATTTGGATATTGTAGGTGGGACAGCTATTTCAAATAAACAGGTGAGATTTTTGCATATTTATAAAATATTCCTTGAAGTTCTTTAATTATATATTATTAATATCAGATGTGTGCTCTTTCTTTTCAGAATTTGCTGGGTGTCATAGGAAATATAATCACTACACACACACAGTACAAGAGGAGTTATGATTCACATTTTAAAGCCTTCATTTGTGCAGCATTGAAGTAAGTAGTCTGCTTGATGCTTGGCCCATAGAGTACAGAAATACTTGTGACTTTTGATAAGTTTTAACTGATTTTCAAATCTTAAATTGGAATTCAGAATTTAATTAAGCCTTTGTTCACCAGAGAAGAAGATTAGGGCTGATGAAGTTAATCAGGATTGTGATTGATACCTTCAAAATTATATTTTTAATGTGTTTATTTTTCTTTCGCTTGTAGTTCCAAAAAGTTGGTTCCATGGCTACGTTTAATATTTAGATGCCTCTCACTACTGGAACTCTACTATCAGTCTTGGAGTTATGTTGCTAAAACAGGTATGGATACAGCAGTACTGCTTAGATGTTTAGTGTAGTAGTGTATTTAAAACATAGTTGCTACAAGGCTCTTTGTGTTTTAGACATATGTTTTATGCTCATATATTACTATGAAAGCGTAATATAGTTGTATAAGTGACCAATGCCTGATGACGGACTGGCAGAATTATGTTGCTAGTAAAATAATAAACATAGACATGTAAATAAATACTAACGCTTGTAATATTGGTTTGTTATGTGAAGATGACTAATATTAATATTATTTTTAACTTTATATTTAGATTAGTTGTCCCATTTTCAGTTGTAGAATTACTTAAGGTGCATGACAAACTATGTCACCAAAAATGGTTATTCTGTCTGCGAAAACACCATGATGACTGAAAATTATGATCAGAAGAAGCATTACATAAAATAAAAAATCAGTCCTTGTCTATTGTGAGTATTTCTATTAGTAGATATACAGTTGTAAAACCATTTCTTTTAGGGATAGTCAGGAAATTTATGCAAATGTATGTACAGTAGAATCAGATATGGCGGCAAATCTTAATGTAAACAAAATGAAAGCTCAAGGTAAAATACTGGTTTTTGTTTAAAACATATTTTTGTGCTTTCCTTCTAATTGTGTACATCTAACTGGAGGTAATTTATAAATTAAATGTTGTATTAATTTAATTATTATATAGTAACGAGTCCAGAAATGTTACATAACTTACTTTCATGCAGAAACAGTTTTGTGCTACATAGTCATTCTAGAGCAATGTTGGGGAAATATTGTTGAATGTATGGTTTTTCTTCCAGGTTTTGAAGATAGTTTCCGTAGTTTGGAAAGATTATCACAGTGCAAATTTGAATTGCCTGTGGATCTGGCAATCCGTCAATTTCAAAACATCAAAGATGCATTTTAGCATTCTGCAGCATCTAGACATGTCTGATGCATACAATGTAGTACTACTGCCTAATAACCAGCATACAGAAATCAACTTACCCCAGCATGAACTGATGTGAATGTAGAATGATTCTGGTATCTTATTTTTTTAAATTTGGTTTAATCAGGTGCATTAAGTTTCTGATCAACAAATAAAATTAATGGTAAGTTTCATGTATGCAATATTCTGTATTAGCAACAAAATTATTTAGTAATTTTAATTAAATATTGTGATGATTCAGAGGAGTGAACAGACTGAAGTATCTCAGTATGTTCTGCTCACATAACGTCCTTACCTTTTCATGGAACATCCTGTTTGAAGTGATGAGGTTCTCTTGACTGAGTCTCAGTGCAGCAAGTGTCATCGTGTGACTTCTGGATGAAATGGTAGCACACAAAGCCAGTTTTGTGGTTTGAACTTAATATTACCCAATGCTGGTCAACAGCCTACTAGACTGATCATAATAAGAATGTCTTAAGCTTGATAGAATTAAACAGTAGTTTTATAAACATTGTGACCCTTGCAGCTTAATATATATAAATAAATTCGGTTTAACAATAGGTATTTTAGCAAAATAAAACATATTGCAGTATTGTCGCCATATGAGAATCCAGTACATTCAGTTCTATAATGAAGAAGAAACAAGTAAATGAATTTACTTCAATAAAAGATATCTTAATTCCATTGTATAGTGTCTCATTAGACCAGCTGCTAGTTATTCATCTGATCAAGAAATTTATGGACTCGAAAAGGCTCATCATGTTCACGCAGACTCTATCCTGCATCTCTTCAAACCAGTTTATGAAGTGGTTTATTCCCTAGAGGTTTTCTTACAAAACTTTGTAAATGAAGATAGCTGTATTCTGGGTTATAACACTGTGTAGCCTGGTAGAAGTTCACAAACATTTCAGAGGTCATTGTTATATCCATCATCAGGGCAAGGGAATGGTAAATATTTTCAAGTATTTCACATGGTTAGTATTGATGTGCCTCTTTACTGGTGAATAATGCAGCATTAACTTCCATCTCCACCCCACCCCCTTCATTTGCCTTATCCTTTTGTGTACTTACAATGCGAATAAAGTTATTTTCTTCCACCAAACAGTTTAGAAAATGTAAAAGCTGCACAGCCATACCTGTGCTGTTCAGAGCATAAGTCCTTAATTTATTTCTGGAAAAAAAATCTGTGACATTCAGTAAGTACTTGAGCTATTTTTGTAACAAATTGTATATTTGGATTAGTAACAAATAATTTTATTGCAACAAAACAAATTACAAAGATATTAATAATGTAGATGAAACAGTCTAAGGTGGGTCATACACAGAAGAAACCAGTTACATGTAAACAGTTCCTTGCTTATTGACACACACGAAGAAGCAATTTTGGTCCACCACATCATCAGACGAGGAGAGCATTATGTTCTAGTGACTGTCACATTGACAGGAAGAAAAATGATATTGTGTACATATAGTGCACTATAAATATAGACAAAAAAATCTTGCTCTTTCTACAGAATGAGTACATTTTCTTTTATGACTTTGTGGGTCTAATTTTGTAGCCTTTTCCTTCAGAATTATATTTTATCATGTGAGGTGATGTGACATGATGGAAAAGAAAAGTCATTGTTCACTTTTTATTCACAGATTAACTGACAACTTTTTTTATTCAGGAAGTTTAGAGTTTATGGCAGAAACAAATATTTTGGTCTCATAAAAGTCAAGACGTATTGAGAGAAATGTAAACTAATCTGTAAAGTGGTATTTTGGACTTTTTCAATAAATTACATTTTGGAAGCTGGATCTTCTTTTGTCTTCATGTAAAGACAGAGACCCTAATGTTGGGCCTGCTGGTTGAGCTGCCCTCAGATATGGACAAAAGGACATGTCCAAAATACCACTTTTATAGATCGTAATGCTACCATCATCAGAAACTTTAAAACTTTGTTTAAATGTAAACTATTTATTAACCAGTAACTCTCACTGTCTAAAACTACATATAATGCTCTAAACCCATCAAATATGAAACATGAGGAAATCTAGAACACATTATTTATAGAGACAGACACTCAAGTTCGGCTATGAGATCCATATGCTTGAATTCCTGTGGTGTATAAGTGAATCGTTCTAAAAGCTTCAATCTCTTTGCATTATCTTGGCCATAGTACAGCTGCAGTTGGTTTGCTAAACACTGGGCCTCTGTTCCATTCTGCATAAAATGACATACATAATTAGTAACTTAAAAGTTACACGAACAACAGTAAAAGTGTCCAACAAATCGCAGGAAATGTTTCACCCACACATCATACTACTAAACAGAAAATTGGTTCAAATCAAGACTTAGTCGTGAGTGTGATTAAAGCTGTACAGTGGAATCATGGATCATGTCACCATAAAACTTGGTATAAATATCATGCCACATATCACCCAAGTTTGTCCTTTTTAATTCAGTCATTAACAAACTTTGAAGAAGCACTGCCACTAGATCCATTGTAGGGTCAGTAAATCTTTTATGGTGACATGTATTTGTGCCAAATGTACAATAAATGTGGCATGCAAAATCTGTATTTAACTTTCGTTTTGTTAATGATGGTGATTATTATTGGCAACCCATCACAACTAAGCAAATGAAATCTGGTACAGTAATAGATGACAAGCGTAACTACAAATGATGTATTGAACACTGGGTTGAAATTTACAAATGTGACTGATTTGGAACTTGACTCCAGCAAAAATTTTGTACAAAGATTGATCAATACCATATTTATTAATGTTTCATGCATTCACGTAGAAGATCAAAGCATTTCAAGGGAAGTAAGCATGACAATTTCATTTGGAGAATTTTATTTGAACTGTTGTGATATTCACAAAGCGTTACACTGTTGCAATCTTTCTAAATTTCAGTAAGAATTTGTGATTTATCCTATTCTTTCTGTAATGAACTTAATATTTAAATTCTGTTTCAGAAGAATGTCTAGAATCATTAATTCCTAGTGTTCACTACATATCCAGGTATTAAAAGGTAAAGCACATCCAAAAATGTGCATATTTGTATAGACTCTCATTCCTCTTTTAATTATACATAGCATTAATTTGCCAATTCTGGTATGGATTGTGTTGCTTCATAGCCTTCCAGGTTGTTACCAGTGTTTTGGAAGAACAGATTGCCTCCATCTTCATAGTTGAATCCTAGTGCTCTGAAACACTGGTATTCACCTACAAGGCTGCATGTCATCATGACCTAGATCACAACTGACACCTTCACTACCACGAGAACCTCGAATCTCAGATTATATTAATTTATTATTCATTTGATAACATAGCAAAATGACCTGGTAACTAGAATTGTGATGGAACTGTTTAACAGGGATTTAATCAGAGTTTTCAATGTATTTTGTGTAATCAGATGCTGATATTGGGGATTTACAGTGCTGTGAAAACCTCAATTTGGTATGATCAAGTTACTTGATACCTGTGACTAATAAAATTTAACTAGTTCAGCATAGGGCAACAAAGATTTAAATTTGCTATGAATTCCTATTCCTGCCATACTTACAAGAATATCCTTATTGTATTCTCCACGCATCAGCACTAGTCCCTTCTCTTTTAAGTCAGTATAATGAGTCATAGTCAAGCACTCTGGGGCATTTTCCTTATGAGCCTGCAACACCAGGAATTGAAAATAATGAATTACTAGTGGCTTCAAGCTATCAAACACATAAACAAATATGTGATCAACTGTATTGATTCTGAGGTTATGTAATTATGCTCTTCGAACTGAAAAGCTAGAAGTGTTGTAGATAATGAATGGTGGGTTAGCAGCTGAGTTGGAACAAAGTGATCTAGGTTTATTTTAAGGTATTTTCCTGGTATCTGCATGTGTAAACCATGGAACACGAATACCCTCAGTCAGAATTGTCAGTTACTTGGCAAGTTGCCTCCCACACATAAATCTAAAGCATTATTGTTGCCACTGTAATGTATTATAGCAGTTCTTCGCTTTAAGGACTGAATTCAGTGAAGTTTAATAAGCCTGAGAACATGTTTCAAATGAGAGAAAATCAAATCAGTTATAAGAATTCCAATAGTCAAATTACAGCACTCAAACTACAAATGATATGAAATACAGCAACCTATAATAAGAGAAAGGTGTACTTTATGGAGTATACTGACATTCCACAGGGGTATTTCATGGTGGTTGTACAACAATGGGAACCCTTGGATTCCACTGCTGTTCAACAGGTTCCAACAATGGGACTTTCATTCCCGCTGTTGTGAAAAATGCAACCTGCATGGACAGGCCTATGAGGTGTTCTTTGCTCAAACTAGAACATGAAGAAAACCTAATATGCCAAATTAATTTTTCTTGGGCACAAAATATCTACTATGCATACCTGATAATTAATAAGAGGTGTAAAATGAGCTTCATGGCCAGAAAACTGACATAAGATGAACTCATATCCTCTGTCTCGTGGAAGTGGAAATACAAACTGTAAAGCACAAAACATGTCCCTCTATAGTGCTACAAGCATTTGATTTTATAAAATTGCATGGCAGAATGCCAATAGTATTGAAGCTTTTATGTTCTCTAATAAAGTACATAACACAGCTATCTACACAACCTGTATTTTACTATATATACTACATGTTTTGGCCTGACTAGATAATCCTCTGGCATACAAACTTAAGTGTGAAGACCCTGTACCATAAACATGTATATTATGACACTATCCATTGCTAGAGCTATGCAACACTTGTACAAAACCTCATTTATATTACACTAGCTATTACAAGTTGATGAGTGTAGCTTGTGTAGAGGGCTTCTTGAATCTATATTTAAAACTGCCAATAAAAGGTTTAATTACTAAAAATATAAACATAAGGAGAACTGTCTTGTATGTTTTGGTAATGGCTGTTTTTAAATAATGGTTATCAAAAGTAATGTATCAGGCATGATTTGAGTTGATATCCACCATACTAAGGCATTCAACTAATTACGGTCTGTAAGATCCTAATAGAAATTCATATACAACAGTGATAATATGTAGATATGTTAACTGAGTCTGGAAATGATCCCTGGACAGAAAGATTAAATACACTTACTACTGGAAATTGCTGGCTTCTTAAATTTATGGTATCGTACACTATGCTGGGTACTGCTGCTGCAATGACTTCCTTTTGTTTGTGATATTCTTCCCAGATCTGAATTGAAAATATAATAAATAAATAACTGAAATATTATTGTATAGGATTTGAGGTTGAGTGTGAAGATGGCTGCCTCTTCTAAAGTCTGATTTAATGTAAAGGAAATGACTTTACAACACAGACACCATGTACTTCAACCTATCTAGCATGTACTCCCCTCAACTGCAAGACTTGTTACAAAATTTGGATTATTTGTATTTATTAGATAAAGCATAGACATAATGCAAAATAAACTGAACTACTAAATTCAGGTTTGTTGGAGAAATGTAAAAATATGTGAATATACAATCAATTATATTTCTTTCAATGCTTTACATAAATACTGTAACTACTTAAAAACTATATGAGCAAAAAATACATAACTGGCCACCTTGATGTAGAAATACACAAAAGCATAGTACTATGTGCAAATAACATGAACACAGTGAGATCTGACCTGTTTTATTTCTTCACACTTCTTATCTGCAACTAGTTCCATTTTCATAACATCATTCAGTACCTGTAATGTAATAATGGTTGTTCTTTATGAGATGACTGGACATTGTCTTTTATGTATTTTTGTGTGGTTTATTTAACAATGCTTCAGTTACTCAGACTGTATGCCATCAAATGATTAATGAATTGAAAACATGTGGAAAGAATTTGTCATGGCCAAATTTAAGGTATTACCCCCCAGAATACACTTAGAGAGGCTGAAGAAAACTATCACAAACCTGTCAATGACAATCTCTGGGCCAAGATTTGAGACCAGGATCTTCCTACTATAAAGCAACAATTCTAACCATTCAGTAATGATGTTCAGTGTCATGTCAATTCTATACACTTATAAAACAGATTTTATAGCTTCTAATGAATAAGGCAGTGTTGTATTAAAAAAATGGGCTGAAAAGTTCTGTGATAATTTCTGTTTAACTGAATATCAGTTCCCCACCCCCCATCTCAGAATTCCATTCCCATGACATTTATGGAATATTCCACAAGTATTTCTACTGTGTGTCATTTGCAATATCTTCTGCAAAGTTCATGCCCTTTGTTGTTACAAATTGTTTCTGGCATGTGTTATCAAGATGCACCACTTTATTTATGAATGCAAAGAAATTATATTACATGGGACATGAATACTATCTTTTGAGATTAATATAAAATGAGTGGAAATATATGTTTATCACATATGCTGTACAGCAGAGTGGGAGTTAACCACAGGATAATCCTGAAATTCATATACCATTATGAGGATACTATCAACTCTGAAATTTAAAATAACCAAGACATCAATAGAAGTATCTTCAATGACTATCTGACATGTCTCATTAAACTTCATCAAGAGTATTTTCACCTTTTGTTTTGTGAATGTAGGAGAGTGGCATTTTGCAATGTCTTCTTTGGGATGTAATAATGATGAAAACTCTCTTTCTTCGCCATATGCTTGTTTAATTGTAGTATTTTGTTCCTTATGTTCTCTCAGCCGGGTCATAAATTCTCCTGGAGATGTACTGTAAAATTGAGAGAGGTGATAACCAATTAGCATGATAATTGGAATGCATACAGCAAACTTTTCAGGGCTTCAAACATATGCTCCAATTATCATTAAACTTTTGTGGAGTCTGTCAGCGTGAAATATGTAATATAAACCATTCTAACGTAATTCCAAACTTATCACTGAAGTCAGTGGTTTGATGTTACTAACTGGTGCCATTCAAGAAAGTTCCTTAAAATTTTGAGGCATCACGCTTGCGGCTACTGTAAAACTAAAAACGTAAAAACAAGGCAAAGAAAATGTAATAGTAACAAGTGTTTTGGGGTGTGGACTGGCCACAATCACAACCAAAGCACAATAAAATAATTAAAAATTACAATATACTAATCTAACCTAACCTAACCTACCGCTACCAGGGGCATACACTTATACAAATACTACAATCCGAAAAACAAACTTCTGAAATGCTGTTATCTTCCTGCAGTATTTCTCGTAGTATGGATTATTTTGCAAGTCTTCTATCGCTTTTTCTGCCCGAAAGATGGATGACATAATATTCCGTCTTTGTTGAAGTAACACCCCCCAATTCCACGCTACTACAGCATATCCTCTACTAAGTACTGCCATTATCACATCATCCAACCGAGGTCAATAAGGTAAAATGTGCAATGTTGGTGACACTGATAATCCGTGCTGTCAGCTTTACTAATCACAGATTATTAATTACACATGGAGGTGTTCCTTTTTGTAGTTCAAAACTTGTTGCCTGCAGAGTCACAATCGTAGACAATTAGCCACTCACGTTACATTACTCTTCACGTTACAAATGATACACCATATTTCATAATATATGGTACTGTATCGTCTAAAATTAACAGAAACAAAATCCTATTGTCATATTATAATGCAATGTAGCAATTTTCATTCACAAAACTTCTAGTTTTGAATTTAGTCACAACATATAAATTACGTACGACAAACCTCAGATTCCCATACGTCTAATTTTTTATCTGTGATGCTTCCGGTGATAGTAATCGATGTAGACGTAGATACAATGAATTTATGAACGAATAGAATGATACTACGAAAGTTAATGCTTATCAGAGATTAGCAATAAATTTATGTTGTTGGTAAGAATAACCTTCAAATGTCATGTGAGACGCGCCATGTTGGACAGAATTTTTACTACGACAGTTGGCTGATGCGTAGGTGTTAAGTTGAAGGAAAGGATTTGGTAGACTGATTTAAAATGTCTAACGGGTCGCTGTCTTCGAGCACACTTGTTGCTAGACTTTGCCATATTATTCAGTGGAAGCATTTTGACGGATATGGATTTAATTTACACGCAGAAAAAGGCAAACCGGGCCAGTATATTGGTAAAGTTGATGAAGGATCACCAGCTGAGGCTGCAGGTTTGAAGCAGGGCGACAGAATTATTGAAGTAAATGGTGTTAACATTTCAAACGAAAATCACAAGCAGGTGGTACAAAGGATAAAGGCAATTCCAAACCAAACGAAGCTGTTGGTAGTGGATTCTGAAGCTGACAAATATTTTAAAGCTAATAACACCATTATTAAAAGCACCATGCCAGACGTATTGCACCTCCAGACACCTATTCCTAATGAGGATAACGATATAGATGTGAACGGAGAAAAGAATGATGGAAATTATGAGGACACACATTCACACAAATCTGAAAGAAGTGCTGCTTCAGTTGAACCTGAGGTAAAGATGTTCCTTATTTAGATTTATCTAGTAATTTACCATGTAAAGCAGTTAACTAACTGGCTTTGCATAAAATGGAACTTCACTACCATGGGAATCTGAAATCTCACTTCTCTGTAGTTTATCTAAATATGCACCATCATCCTGTTGACAGTAGTGATTCATCAAACAATTATAAATGTGTGTGTGTAAATTTATGATATGACAACATTGAAGTAATTGGTATTATTTGACCTATTTGTATTTTATTTGCTTAAAAGTGTTCAGTTTTGCATTTATAAAAGCCTTTTCACCTGTGCCTTGGTTTTCAGTAAAAAATTTATATCAGAAAGTTACATATTCCACTGGTGCATTACTTCATAATTGTTTGTTAATCTAATATACAGTATGACTTTGTTATTCAGTGGCTTACCATATTTGTTGATCACACAACTGCTGTAGTCAACACCTTTCCATGTTTATTAACTCCTTTTCTTGTTTACTAATGTGGGATAATATTGACTACAGCAGTACTGATATATTACTGTAATGAGGGCAGACTTTACTCCCTGATTTGTTAACAGCTGTGGATGAATTTTGAATATAAAGAATGCTTCAGTAATACCTGTTATGTATTACATATTAATGACTGGACCTGTTGGTCTCTATACTTGTATTTGGGCAGTACCTAGTGTGGAACTTCGCCAAGTTGCTAGCTGTCCAAAGTTCATATTCACTCGCCAGTCAAGATCAACTTCCATCCCATTTGTCGATATGTCACTACAGAGTGTTAACACTACTGCTTTGTATTTAGGAGATTGTCAGTTCATTGATGCTTAAATATCTCCCACATTTTTCATTTCCAGACTCAGCCTGAGAAGCTGTCATACAAAAGTAGTAGTACTGGCACTACTCCTTCAAGTGAGCGGAAACATGAACTGGGATACAGTACAGAACCCCAGGTTGACTCTGCAGATGAGGTACTGTAATTAATTACATTTAAAATTTGTAAGATAGTTTCCCTAATGTACTACTCCATTATAAGAGTATAATTGTCAATATTTCCAACAATACATTATTTACAGATATGACATTTGTGTCAGAAGAATTCTGCTGCAGTATGATAAATCCAATGTCATGTTGTTTGGAATTTAGCATGTATAATCCCACTAATATAAAATATTGTACATTTTTTACTTCTTTATTTAAAAGTATGGGTGTGTTGCCTGGTTCACACACATATCATTAGTTATTGTATGTATTTGAACTTTATCCATTGGCTGAGATTTAAAATATATTAATGTAAGAGTTACTGCCTTTGAAACATAAGTTTTGGTATTTTAAATTTAAGTTTCAAATGATGGATAAAAACCAAATCAAATGCCATAATAATATTACCCTATTGTCATCAAATTTTAGAATGATTTATCTTTAATGTGTCAAAATTATTTTTTAATAATAGACTGAGGAGCAAGGGATTAGTAACTTGGTGTTGTACAGCAGTTAGCAAACATTACCACCCAAGCATTCAGAGGAATAGTGAAGTTTATTTAATTTGTTCTTCAGTAATGTTTAAGAGTATGACTGGAAAGAGGAAATATTCTGGGGAAAAGTTCATGGTATCTAGTTTTGGGCTTTTGTGAACTATGAAAATTATTGAGCATGTATTAAATGTTCCTTAATTTTTTCATGTTGTGTATAAATTTACAGGGACTTTCTTCTGTTGAAACAAGTCTTCGACCTCCTTCCAGCAATGGAAGTGACGATACTTTAGACCACAACAATCGAAACAGCAGCCTTAACCTCAACATGACTGCTAAGGAACTGCGTGCTAAGCTGGCATCTCGCAAGAAATATGATCCTAAGAAGGAGTCTATGGACTTCAAGAAGAAGTTTGATATTGTTCAGAAATTATGAAATGTGTTTTCAATGTATGTATTAACAGGAACAAGAGAGGGCCAATTCTGAGTATTATGCATAATATATGTAGCTATGTTCCATACTTCCAGACAGTTCAAGCCACAGTATTGTGCCTTCTGTAGTAGTACTTACCCGTGAATTGCATAAGATAGCCGTCCATGTGCAGCAGGTCTGTAGCAGTCTGTTACACTATTAACAAATCTCTTTATTAGTTCTAATATGATGCAGCACACATTGTGCCAAACCACTTCATAATTCAAGGTCAACTATTGTTATAAAACCTGTATAGTCTTATGAAGTAATTTGGGTAGCACAAGTGGAGGGTAGATTATTATTAACTGGTTGGTTGTTTGCACTTTAATTACAAATATAGAATTAGATGTATTACTAATAATTAATAATTTACATTCCAGTACTTTTACCATGTGATAATTTGTTATTTACATTGTAGAAAACTGTTGTATAAGATAACTATTCATTTTAAGGCACTCATTTATGCCTTACAGTAAACCTTTTTCTGGTAGTGTTATCTACTTAATAGATATGAAGCATAGAAGGCATGAAATATTTTTAAGTACTCTTTAATGAGTTTCATTAACTGTCAATGAAGTTCATTTAAATAGGAATAGAATGTGCTAATATTTCATGTTTGTGTTATTAGAATAGTATTTGGCCAGTTTGTTGTCACAGATTTGAAGAGTGGCATCACCAAAGGACTTACTTGCTAAATGTAGAAATATATTTCATATCCACAGTCTCTGTCATAATAGCCAAGGTATTTTAATTATACATTTGCCTTACAATCAAATGTCTTTCCCAGCAGCAATATTTAGATCTGCAGGCATCTTACTTATACATATCATTTAGGTATTGTGCCGTATCCAGAAATAGAATAAGATTAGTAGTTAATAGTCATCATGACGTGATCACAGACTAGAAACATAATTGTAGTTATCATTTATCTCTTACATGTCCAATCTTCATGGAATTGAAGATACATCTCAAAAGATGTATCTTCAATTCCTGCATTTTTTCACATTTAGATCTGAGTTGTTTCATATAATTTTACACTAAATGGAATGATTAGTGACTCATTGGGTTCATGACTGAAAGAGAGATGTTTCTGTAGGATTTGAGGTTTTCACGGCCGCAAGTCTGATGATCGCTCTCGTCTGGGTCGTTGCGCCATGTAGTCTAGTAGAAGTTTACCAGTTGCCCTGATTATGGAGGCAGCAAAGACCTCTGAAACGTCGGTAAACTTCTACCAGACTACACGGCGTAACAACCGAAAAGACAGCCATCTTCAGAGATGTTTCTGTTCTGATAATTCTGTGTAATTGAAGTTTAGTTGAAAGAGCTTGTTGCACTGTTGCTTGAAAAGTGTGTGGCACTGAATTCACTATTTAGACCACTTTAAGAGTTCCTCTATATTTTGCCAGCCAATAGAGCAAAATATGTATTGTCAGATCTGAACATACTCACTTCCAGGTACTCTCCTGCTGGCTTTCCTCTTAGTCCAGGTCATTTTTAGCAGTGACAAGTTTTTCAGTATTACATAGTAAAGAAATTAATGGAAAATGATCTGCATATGTTGAAGGAATCATAAAATATACATGCACCATTTAGCAACAGAACAGATAAAACTGAAAAATGTTTTTGTTTTATCATGACATGTTGCTGTATTACCCCAATCAGATATATTAGTCTGGTCAGAGCACCAGTAAATGACCAAACTCGAATATGGGAGTTATTGTGTTTAACTAATGTTAGACTACTCTTGAACAGAAGTGCCACTCTTTAAGTGCTTGTAAAGTTTCTAGAAGGTGATGTATGAATACCAAATGCAGAACAAGTATGAAAATGTAAAATTGTAAGCTATGTAAAATACAATTAACCAGTGACTTTTGCCTAATGTTTCTGATGTTTGTGGTCATTGGTAAGCCAATGATGCATATATTTTGCTTGCCAATTGGATCCTTGGATTCAAACACTGGTTCATGTGATTGATTAAGTTTATACATTTCCATTGAAGATTTTAATTTTTATTTCTTTCATCTTATTTTCTTGCTTTCCACTGTGAAGAACCTCCCCATTATTCATATAAACTTGTAAGAACATTTCAATATTTTTGAAAATCTTGATTATGATTTTCATGCATGAATCTGCTTTTAACATGGGTCTTTTCTTGCGTTCTTCATTGTGCGAGTCAGAAATTAACCAACAGTAACATATATCTCGAATACATTGTTTTTAAACAAGTAATGTTTAGTGTTGCACTTAAATGAGCAAGTGGCACTTGGCAGAATGTTTTATTTGCAGATGATAAAATACATACGTTTTTGTGTAAATATCTGGTAAAATTAAGTACTTTTACCATATGCTGATTACAGTAGATCCATAAGAATGATCATATGATGAAAATCATAAATTTTTTTTATGACAGTAATTTTCTTCATATTTCTGAAGTGCCTTACTTAAATCACCACATGCCTGAATGTTTTTATGTAATATTTTTGTAGTATAAGATAAACTGTAAATTGATATAAAACTGCAAATACTGAATCTGATTAACTTTACACATGCATAACAAAGTCATGGGATGACATTTATGTCTTACACGTATTCCTGTATTTCTAAGTGTGAGTTATAAGCACTGAAAGAAAGTTAAAATAGCATATACACGTGTTTCTAGGAAGACTACATGACGTGTTTTTGCAATGTTCTTTGTCTTTGACCTGAAGGAAACAGTTTCATACAGGATAACACATACATTACTATTACAGGTAACAGTTTTAGGAGGAATTATTTAATAAAGATGTTTCTTGTTATGTCTGTGTGACCGTTTTCATCGAATTTATTTGAAATTGTGTAAAGGATGTTCATATTTTGTGCTCTTTAATATTGACAGTTTGTTTTACTGTGAACTTTTTCTAGTATATAATGTTAATAAAACATTTTTATCTACACAGTGTATATTACTACTATGAATGTTGTGTTTCTTTCCTTATTAGTGACACATTTTTGGTAATTATGTTGTATTCAGTGAACATTTTCTATTTGTAATGTAGTTAAATGTATATAATGAAATTCAGGAGACCCAAATACCTTAAATTTGTTATGTAAAGGATTCAGGAAGCTATTTATGTAATTGTATTTATACTCGTAGGTCCGATTAAATACAGTACCAGGCCCCTTATCTAGAATGTCTGGAAACCAAGGATTTTAGGATTTTCTAGAATTTGAATCTTCATAAATGATTAAGTAAGAACAAACAATTTGGGGGTTTCATATTATGCTTCTCTAATTCTGAGGGACAGACACTGTACTCTGGGGTGGGGGAAATCACAACAGATTGCCCCAACATAGACATTCTGAATAGGGGTCATTTTATTGCTATTACTGTTGTCATTTTCATCAACATTATCCACTAATCACTTTTATTAGTGGGGAGAGTTCAGAAATATTTGTTTGGCAATTATACATTGCTGAAGCTGATATCCCAATTCCATTTTGTGCGTGGTAGTACGAAACGCCATTCACACCATGGTTACCTGTTATTAACTGCAAATAGGTTTATACCCAATGGCAGTGGTGCTACAACAATGAGACACAACAAAACAATAAGACAAAAAAAACAAGACGCAACAAAACAACACACATGCCAGAACGGTTCTATTTGCATGTACCATGTACGTAATTTTATATTTACCATTTAAATGTGACCTACAAAAGATTTACTGAAGAGATAACTACACTCGGTTGTATGGATCTATAAGGCAGTGGGCATGGCTTGTATCATAGAATCATTCAATAAGGAAGATATTCATTGTCGCCAAGATGGCGCCGATGATATATACACTGTATGGGTTTGCGATACTTTTCTTCGTATTTTGGTGTGGAAAATGGATAGTACATTTTACTGCTATATTTTATGGGTAAGTAACTTAATAAATTTCGTTTGAGAATTCTAAGACTATGTCATTTGCTCAAAGAAACATGTGTGAACTAAGTTTACAACAAATAATTTAATAATGCATGTATTTGGATATATTTAAGTTCTCTGCGATTGCATTGGATTGAGCATACGACATTTAGTAATTCTGCACATGTGTTTTTTTTGCAATATTTTAGTAAAACTCACTGTACATATTAGAAGACGGTTGAAGTGAATTCACTGTCGCATGAGTACTGCTTCTAATAGGGGTGTCGAAAGTATGCTGAAGTATAATTTTTTATATACCCAACCCCTCGAAAGTGAGGTTTAATTAATGTTGTTTACAAAATTAAACATTAAACAATGTTGTAGCATGTAAGTATGTAAATGTTATTTAACATTCCGTGGAGAAAAGTGCTGAAAGGCTAATAGTCGCTCAGCTAGTCCTGAAATTTTCCTCACCACCCTCCTTCATGGAATCCGAAGATTCATTACCATGTTCACAACAGCACGCCACTGGCCTATCCATTGAATCCAGCCCATATCCTATTCATAAATTTCTCTAAGATCAATTTTAATATTATGCTATCTACAAAGATATTGTGTTAGGCAATGTGTATGGTAAACTTCAAACATCGTAACATGGAAATTATATGACAAGCAGCTGTGCCATTTCTATGTAAACTTCTTGAGACTTGAATATTTATCTGCGAGATTCCTTATGTGTTATTTTTAAACAGACTACAAGAAATGTTTGTTGAGTAGGTCTACATTGGTTCTCAGTAAATTGAAACTCGTATTTCTTATTGATTGTTTTTATTATAAAGGGATTACCACTGATAAGGTTATAAATACCATTGTATCTGTAAAGGGTTGCTTGAATTTTTCCACTGTATGCAGCACAGTTGTGTTTATAACATGAACTAAATGAGCCAAGAAAATAGTTCAGTCTAGGATTCTTATCACATGCAAAAAACAACACATAGTTTCAGTTAAAATAGTGACTATGTATTAGATTGTGGTTTTCTGCGTTGTTTGCCATGTAGTGTTCAGGTTCTATTACCAGTGTTTCAAATAAACATGCATGCTCCATCTTCAGGGTTCAAGTGAGGAGAAAGGAATTTGATGGGTTATATAGGATTATGTGGATGATCAGGTCAAAGAGCACAAGAAGATGGCCATTCAGAGGCATGTAAGTGGGTGGGGAAGTGGAGCGAAGTCCAGGCTAGGTAGAGTGAGGAACAGAAAAATGACCTTTTCAGGGATGCAGTAGAGAAAAGCTGGTCCAAGAGAAAAAGAAAAGGCATTCCTTTTCAGTGACAAGGGAAATTTTGGATTAGAAGAAAACCTCCTGTTCCTTCATAGTGAATAAGTTTTCATGACCTCAGTGGAATTCACTCTCCCTGTTTATTGTTAGGATGGAGCTCAGTGTTTATTGCTTTCCGTATGGTCTTGTCAGTATGTCTGGAATTTTAAGTCATGATATTGGTGTCATTTAGCATAATACAGTAAATATCCCATATTGATGTTTCTATGTCCAGCCATGGCTGACTTTTCCATAGCATCAGACTGGGCCATTTTATCCTACTAAAACACAAGTATCCTGACCATGAAATGCAGAAGCAGGAGAGATCAAGCCTCATTCCACCTACAGAGTAGATTGGTTCTCCTGGAGTGTTATAGAAGCCTCTTATTTACACCCCGATGGAGCCAAAGAAGGTCCTCTCTAAGGACAAAACATTTCCCTAGTCTTGACCCAAATTTGTCTCTTATGACCGCACAATAGAGAGCTTTTCTGTTTGTCCCTGTATTAAACCATCTCTCCTCCCCCTCATGGCTCTGACTGGCCAGTCTTCCTTTGCCCTCTGGCCTTATCATCCACCAAATTCTGTCTGACCCTCCATTTTTTATCTGATATGTAGTTTGTAGGATCAACATTTATTTATTTAAGCCTTGAAGTGTCATTCACAATTTGATATTAATTATGCAATTAATATTGTATGTATACAGGTCCCTTTACTGCCAGGTAGAACATAGAGTGCAATTATTTTAAGACATCCCAAGTAAAACAGTGATGAATTGAGCAGAAAATGTAGAATGTTTTGTAATTTATACAGCTCTTCTATTTGTATTATTAATGTAAAAAGTTAAAGAAAGGATGTTATGATGGACCAGACATGTAACTGAGATGGGAAGTGTTAAGTGCTTACAGAATTTTTATGAGGAATACTTTTGAAAGCAGCCACTTTGTGTAAGTAATAAATAGGATTGTAATATTAAAGTGGTTAATAGGAAAATCTTGTGCAAATATGTGAACAAGATGAAACCAGCTGAGTGTCATGTCTGTTGGTGTTTGTGATGGTAAGGCTCTGTTAGAGCTAATGTTGTGAGATTATTTTAGAAGATATGCTAGTAGTATTCTGTTTTAACTTAATATCTTTGGAAAGTGTTCTAGAGTTGTGACAACACTGTACTCTTATTCTTTCTGATTTCAGAAAATGGAAACTACATAAAAAAGTTTCTCAATTGCCATGTGAAACTCCTTATCCAGGTGTATCAATCTTGAAACCGTTGATGAGTGTAGACCCAAATTTATTTAGCAACCTAGAAACTTTCTTCACAATGAATTATCCTGTGGTGAGTAGGTGCTAGTTTTTGTTTTCAGGCAAAACTAGGTTTGAAAGAAAGCATGCAGAGTTAACTCACAATAGGAAATTATTCAATTTTACCACAAATACTGCCACCATATTTTTTCCATTCCGTATATGTACCTTGTCCTGCTTGTACAGCTGTTTACATCCCTTTTCTTATAACTGTATTGGACACTGTATCACCCACTTTTTTGTAAGGTAAATTTTGACAGCAAATACATGCATTGAGTAGGTAGTCTAGATGTTTAACAGTGCTTTTCATAAAATGATTTTAAAAACAAGAATACAACATTAACACAATATATTATATCCGATATGACAGAACTTAGAATAGTATTAACACTACATGTGATAATACACAGGTACTGCATGTTACAGCATTCTGAAAATTTATTGAACTTAAAGGTTTTTAAATTTTAAATGACAGTTTTGACCACGTGGTCCTGATCATTACTTACAATGTGCAATTAATAGGTATTTGTTGAAGTGCTGAAACATGGTAAAAACTTAGTTTAACAATTAATGAGATCAATAAAGAAGTAAAAGTAGAGAGAATAGACAGTTTGCAAGTTTTTATGCCTAAATGCAAGTCAAGCCCATAGTATTAATACGTATATGAATGTCAAACAAACTACTAAATTGTAATGCTAATATTTACTTTGAAAACACATGCCTTGAGCAAGAATTAACTCCATGCTATACATGTATCAAAATGAACAAAATAATTCAGCTGCTACTAAATGCACAGTGAAACAGTCTCATAGGATCTTGATAAAAAATGGATTAAAAAACCCACACAACAGGATGCAACTCTAAGAAAATGTTTAAATCTGTACAGCAGTAGGTTAGTCTAATACAAATCACCATGTCATATGTAAGAACTGAATGATATTAACTAAAACACAAACTGAAAATTGCCCACACTAATAGATAAACCTGACAATTTATTGATGCAGTGGTATGAAATGGGGCCGTTTTTTCTTTCCAGTATGAACTTTTGTTTTGTATTGAAGATGAGAGTGATCCTGCTGTCATGGTAGTAATGCAACTTATAAAGAAATATCCATCTGTAACTTCTAGATTATTTACTGGTAAGTGTGATTAACAATCGTATAACGGAAACACATTTTTTGAGCTCCTAATTAAAAAAATATATTTTGACTGAAATTTTTTCTGAATATGTTGCATTTAATAAGTTTTGTTAACATTGTGTGGTCACATAGTTTTGGATTGATGCTCAGGTTAAAGAACAAGTTGTGTCATACACTTAATTAAGCACAATGTCCTGAAGACATTGGGGGAATAGAGGTATTGCTCCATGCATTCTAAACCTAGATGGAAAATGAGTAATATGAAAGTACTTACCAGTGTTACCTAACCTTGATTGCAAAATATTTTGCATAAGCTCATGATTTACATGGCAGCTATCCATTTTCTACATGGAGAATGTCATAGATTTATAAAAGAAAAATCCTGACTTTTTGTGTTCTTTCTGCTGCTGGTGTTGCATTTTTCTTGTATAAGTTTGCATACTCAGCAGAATAGAGGTGACATTGAAATATGAGAATGACAAGAGCCCATTTTCAAATAACATTTTTGTTTTGTTTCTATTTTAGGTGGTTCCAATGTTGGTGTAAATCCAAAAATTAACAATATGCAACCAGGTTTCACAGCAGCAAAGTATGAACTCATACTTATATCTGACAGTGGAATAAGAAGTAAGTAATGGTATTTTAGTAATTATGCCATTTTGCAAGTAAAATTTTTCTGTTCTTCTTCTATCTTGCGTCGTTTGTATTTATAGCCTGTCTGTGGTGCTTTGCAGCCAGTCTCATCTGCCTTAGTGCAAAAAGTAGAGAAATTGCTTTTTAGGACATCAGTGGATGAAAATCTTCATGTGAAGCTGAAACTTTAAACATGCTTAATTTGTTCTAAAAGCAATTTGTTATTGCCTTTCATAAGTTTCAATCTTTGAAGCCTCTTGCCATGTATGTTTTTACACTATCTGGCCCATAATAATTGACTCCAATTTTACACTCTTAATGTTAAAGCTTTGGACATGGCACTTTATGCTATCAGTGTGCAGATTCAAGAAAGTCCTTGGTTTTTCAAATGCTGATTCTGAATTAAATCCTTATCTTACAACTTGGTAGGTTAGTTCAAACAATAATTACTCAGATTGCATTAGGGAGGTAATTGCTTTGAATCCTAGCCAGAGCACTGACTCCCCTGACTGATGTATTTTATGGTTTTACTCAGTCTCTCCAAGTATATCCCTAAGCCTTTCCATTTCACCATACATATGTAGTCATCTCATTTAATGGCATGTAACTTCCACGTTTATTTGTTTCATTATTAAATAACATTCAGTTGCGTTAAATGTCAAGTACATGTTGTAGTTCATGCAAATAAATGCAACAGATATAATGCTGATATTCTTTAATTTTAATTTAATGGACTTGCATTGATTATTTAAGGCCTTCTGGAATTGGTAACATTGGTATTTAGTTTATAGTATATATATATATACATGTATGAATTGGTATTTAATTGGTCACTGATTCTTGCAGAGGTAAAAATGTCTGCAGTCAGAACATTACTTGGTGGCGGTGTGTCCCCCCCCCCCCAATTTCTCCTTGCAAATGGTTTAACTGGTGTGTGCTTGAATTTTATAGTGAAAGAAGACACGCTATTGGATATGGTTTCATGCATGACAGAAGATGTTGGTCTTGTACACCAGATGCCATTTACGTGTGACCGTGATGGTTTCGCAGCTACATTGGAAAAGGTGAAATTTATGTACTTTTATGCTGAACAGTCTCATTTCAGATACTAGTATTCATTTGAATGTTAAGTGCTTTATAAATTAAAATTCTCTCTTTCTTTCTATCTCTCTTTCCCCTCCTTCTTCCCCCTTACCCCTGAGACTAATTATAGTTAAAATTAAGTTTATGATTTTTGTCTGATTACTTATAATCAGATGCTATAATCTCTCATAGATAAGTTACATCCAGATAATTAAAAATATTAACTTGTTTCACTGTTGTGTTGTGCATTCAAATTGTACTTCAGATTCGTTCTTTTTCCTTAACCACCATAACTTTATAGTTGTTATGGTCTGAGGAGCTCCATAATTAATGCTTTACACCAAATGTGCTGATCAAATCAAGGATCTGATGGTTGAGATATATAACATATATGATCAGATGAGAAATGCATACAAAACAATAGTTGGAAAGCCTGAAGAAAAAAGACCACTTGAAGGATTGAGCATGGATGGGAGGATAATGTTAAAATGGATCTTAGAGAAGTAGGGTTGCAGGGTGTGGACTGCCGGCAGGCTTTTGTGAACACAGTAATGAACCTTCAAGTTCCATAAAAGACGAAATTTATTGACAGGCTGGGCTTGCTACAAGTTTTTTAAAGGACTGTGCTGCATGTAGTTGGTTACTTTTTCATCTGAAGTTGGTGGTTCTGTATGAATGTTGGCTGTTGGAAAGTAATCTTAAAACTTTCCATACAAACAGTTTGTTTGTATGCTTATTTTTATATGTTGGAAATTAAGTAAGTACCTAGGATTTTTGAGTTAGTAAATTCAGAAAACAATCCATTATGGAATTTAAAAATTTCCATAGCAATGAAAATATAAATTTTGGTTTGAGTTATGCTAGCATGTAGTCATGTAGATGGTTACAAGTGTTTTAGACTAACCTGATGCCTTCGTCCTTGTGGTAAAAATAGTGCA